CACATTCTGCCAGTGACTTAAGTGCTTTTAACTGCATTTTCACTATGAGCTCTTGCGGGTTCTTTAATATTACGCTCCTCTACATGGCTAAACACAATACAGTGTTCAAAAAACTGATAAAGTAACAAAAGATAAATTAGTTTCACAGTCCAAAACACACATGAATAATTATACAATTATATAAGAATGTATTGCATGTTTCCAGGTGGATCATAAAATGGTCTATTTTAAATCAATACGGGATGCAATTTGTCCTGTATTTCCATACACATAGGGCCGACAGACAGACAGACAGACAGACAGACAGACAGACAGATAGACAGATAGATAGATAGATAGATAGATAGATAGATAGATAGATTGATTGATTGATTGATTGATTGATTAATCCCTCAGGAAGGTCCCTCCAGGAAATTCAATTTCTAGCAGCAACAATACACCGGCCTAATAGTCCAGTTACACAATAATAAAGTAATAATGAGTAATAAATAGCGATGGGATGATAGTAATAATAAATAATTATTGCACGGGTCAGTTAGTAAAATGTCATTCTGTCCCCCCTCCTGTTCCCTTTCCTGCCCCCCAGTGAGGAATTGAAGAAATACATACATAGACTACATACGTTTGTGAAATTGTGTCTTGTTGCCAGTAGGATGAGCTATGCATTTTATTTCCTGAAACGCAATATAATTTCATAATGAATGTAAATGTTACACCCATGTACAAATTAACTGAAACAAATTTGCCGTCATTGTATCCACTCTGTGATTCCGAGATTTTCTCCATTGTTCTTCATGATGATGAGTTGGGAGCACAGAAATTTCCCTGACAGACCCTGCTTCAAGTCAAATTTGGGGTTAGAGCTGAGTGGATGGACAGAGGAGACACTATGCTCACAGACTGGCAGGCCTGCTCGGGTGGGGTTAGAGCTGAGTGGATGGACAGAGGAGCCAATAAGCCCACAGACTGGCAGGCCTGCTCGGGTGGGGTTAGAGCTGGGTGGATGGACAGAGGAGCCAATGAGCCCACAGACTGGCAGGCCTGCTCGGATGGGGTTAGAGCTGGGTGGATGGACAGAGGAGGCACTGAGCCCACAGACTAGCAGGCCTGCTAAGGTGGGGGTAGAGCTGGGTGGATGGACAGAGGAGGCTCTGTACCCACAGACTGGCAGGCCTGTTGGGGTGGGGTTAGAGCTGGGTGGATGGACAGAAGAGGCACTGTGCCCACAGACTGGCAGGCCTGCTCAGGTTGAGGTAGAGCTAGGTGGATGGACAGAGGAGGCACTAAGCCCACAGACTGGCAGGCCTGCTTGGGTGGGGGTAAAGCTGGGTGGATGGACAGAGGAGGCACTAAGCCCACAGACTGGCAGGCCTGTTGGGGTGAGGTTAGAGCTGGGAGGTATGACTGTACCATCCATGTATATTTCAGATGTATGCTCTGAGGTTCAGGCGCCCCCCCGTGCTGTCGTGGGTTTTCCTCCGGGTTCTCTGGTTTTCCTCCCACAGTCCAATAACATGATAAGGTTAATCTGAGTTGCCAAATTTCCCATAGGTATGAATGACATGTGTGCCCTGTGATGGTTTGGCACCCCATCCTGGGTTATTCCCATACAATTTTTATTAATCCACTCGGACCTAAATCCAGACCTAACGTGATAAGTATGAAGCAATATGACTGTGATGCCCGTCTTAACTGTGGTTTATCTTTCTGCATGTACACACAAAAGCTTGTTTCAATTAATTTGCAGAAGGATGTAAATTACACGTTATATCTGCATATCTGAATGCCTGCCCTACCCAGATTTATCACCTGGAGAACCATCTTCCTTGTAGGTATTGTTATGCGAGCAGAAACAATGAATTAAAAACACCGCAGGAGGAGCTGAATGACAGAAAGTAGATTAGTAAAGGTACATATGATTTTCTATGTTTCATATGCTGTTTGAAGTGTCCAAGTGCCGTATTTGAGAAGGAGAGCTGCTGAGGTGGTGCCCAGACTTGAAGCAGGGTCTGTCAGGGAAATTTCTGTGCTCCCAACTCATCATCATGAAGAACAATGGAGAAAATCTCGGAATCACAGAGTGGATACAATGACGGCAAAGTGTCTCTGGCTCACTGGCACAGCTCTATGGCATTAATTGCCATGATTATCCACAAGAAGACAGTGCACCTCAGTACTGCTAATCTACAACTTGGGTGGCTATGTGAACTGTCAGGGCCATTTTTGACGGATTGCATCTTCAAAGAACAAGCTCTTTAAAGCCGAGTCTTGCCAAGACAGCTGCCCTAGCTATGGGTTTTCAGGTGAACAATCCCAAGGGAAACAGGAATGAAAAAAGACAATGAAAGTCAGACAAAACTGCAATATCTTCCTCTGCATGAGGTTCCAGGATGATGCGAGGAGCTTGGTGTAGGGCACAGAGCACAATACTGCCATTGTACTACAGTGTAAGCACTGCAATGAAGTCCAGAGACAGAACTGTATTTGCATAGAGCTGAACAAATATGCTCTCATATATTATGAGTCATCTTACATGATTTAACTTTTTTTAATGAGTAAGGTAAATTATGCAGTTAAAATAAAATGAACAGTTAAAATGGTGGGTTATCAGTGAAAAACACACACTTAGCATCAGTACTATGTTATAGAATGTGTTTAACAACACTTTAACAATGATAGAATCGTAATTATACTTTATGCAGCCCTTTTAACCATTTTAAATTGTGTGCAGTCAGTGGTATAAATAGTCCATCCATCCATCATCCATACCGCTTAATCCATATGGGTCACGGGGTATAGATGTTTTATATAATGATGTTTTACATAACAGTTTTATCAGAATGGATAGAGACAATGAGACATTCTGGACCATATCACTGACTGCATGCGGTTTTAAACAGCTAGAAAAGCTGCACATAATGCAAACATTTTATCTAGTTTGTCTAGCAGAAGAGTACTGAGCAAGCGGAGTACAAGTTTCTGCAGATGTTTGAAGGAAGAGTCAAAAGTCCCGGCCTGGACACAACCGGGATGAAACCATGAGCAGGGTTACATAGTGGCAGGGGTAGGTCGGGGGGGGCAGTGCCCCCATGACAAGATGCATGGCCTCCCTGGTGGCTACCAAATATTGTTATTATTATTATTATTATTATTATTATTATTATTATTATTATTATTATTATGTAACGTAACTGCAAACATTGCATAAATAACAAATCTATATTATTCCATTATAAACCTAAAATTAGCTACTTCTTAAGTGTTGTGGTAATTTACAAACCCTACATAACCTACTATTTACAAGCTAGTAAAACTGTTACATATACATACATACATAAATAAATGCGCGTGCATGTGTGTGCAGACTTCTCTCGAACTGAAAATCTCACTCCACCCAGCTAACCAAAGCTGGCAACCTTGGCAAAGGAGAGTCCGTCTACGCGACGTCATTGTGTTTAATTGTTTTGACTGTGATTAGCATGCAAAATACTGGTTTATTTCTTTGAAATACAGCATACTGGAGTTTCAAATATTGGGCTAATTTCAGCTTCTGTTGGGCGGATTTTAAGCAAACATTGGGCTGAAGATTTTTTGCTGGACCTGGCAACACTGTCCACTATTGACAGTCATAAGCAGGCATAGAGTGGGAGTCATTTTCATCCCGAGTGTATTATGTCCAATTCCAGCCCATTTTGTCTTCGTGCTGGGGGAACTTTCATAAATGATGTCACAGTTTAAGTGTTTAAGTTTAAACTTAGTACTGACATTTCAAGAAAAAATAAATAACATAGCATCTTGAACCGTTCAAGCAGTCTGACTTTTTCAGCCCCGCCTACTGTCTTTCTACCGTCCATCTTTTGAGAAACATCCAGTGATTAGAAATAGGGCGCGTGGCACCTCCGCGACCGCACGCTGCGCTCAAGCCATCAGACAGACGCGCGTGCCGCGGGTCTATTATCTGTGAGATAAAACTCGATGGGTTATACGGCATTGCAATGTTTATTATAATAAACAGGGAAGCTCTCATCTATAATGGACTGCAGATACCTTCATAATGCATTATAATAGTCGGTATAAGAATTAAAGATGTTTTGTACTACATTATGAAGCTATCTATAGTGAATTATAGATGAGATAAAGCATTCGTACTATATAATGAACATGCCTGTAATGTGTTATACCTTTTTAAAAATATTTATAGCTATGTTTATAATGCTTTATGATTGCATTATAACGTGTTGTGAATGTGTTCGTGGATTCTTATAGACATGACATTCATAAAAATGTCATTGTCATCTGAGATTGTTCAGGAAGAATCGATGCAGACTGTGAGCCCTGTGTTAGTGGTCTGGGAGGTCATCTTAACACAAATCTCAGTAAACTTGAGGATTCAGAAAGAGAAAATTAACAACGATGTCAGCATATTATACAAAAATGTCATAAATAATACTATTGAATACTACGAACTATTGAATACCCCTCACACAAACATAAATGGAAAATATCCCTTATCTGCAGATAAACTTTGGTAAAGGGACAAAAATAATCTAATAAATATAATCTGGGTACCTTCCACCCACCCCAATTTGCTCTTTGTGTTTCTCTTAAATTGCCATACACTGTCATAGTATTGTGATATAAATAATTCTTTTAGTTAAAGATGCAAGTCAAATATCCAAAGTCACTCTCTGTAACATCAGTCTTTAAATATATTATTGTTATGTTTTGTTCTCACCAACCCCATAAACATCGGATTAAATTAAGGTTTATTTACGTTTCATTTTTCTCATCTTCTGATAATTTCGTTTTTCTTCTGCTCATTTGAGGACATCTCTTCTTAACACCTCTTTTTATGTGCAAGAATTTAACAATTAGGTTAATTTACTTCAAAAGAATTTATTGTTCTGCATATTTTAGTGCATATTTATTATAATTCAGGGTAAGCACCTTCAAGTATTTTAAGAAATTTAAATCAGCAGCCTTGGTTTTACAAGCCAACACATTTTAACGAAACGCTTTAATGTGATTGTCTCCGAATACATACAGGTACAGACACCTTCCGCATTCAGTTTTGATTTTGATTGTTTTTCCCTTATCGACAGCTTTGTTTAATGTAAAAGCACAAACAAAAAAAACAAAATGACAGTAAACATTAATTCATATTTTAAATTAATAAAATTACTAATAGATAAAACGTAATAACACATAACACTGTTCTTCATGGTGATTGTGTAGGCCAACTATACTAAGGGTAGCGTAAATATATATAAATTTTTTAATTCTTTAACCTAATCGTTTTTTTTACATTAAGTTAAAACCTAATATATATTTAACCATACATTTCGTTTCCATGGACGATCGAAATGTCATTAAAATTATGTGTATATTTTACATGCTAAAGCGTATTATAGTTTGGCATTGCACGTGTTCATGCGTTTCTCAGTAATGCGTGTATGCGCCGATGATCATTTATCCCTCAGAACCTATACGACAAAAAAAAAAACTACAAATAAGATTAAAATAAACATACACATCCTACTAAATACAACCCTACATATCAAAAAATAAATACAAAGAGGTGCATTTAAAAATGCATATTCTGACTCTCAGGAACGTGTCTTGCCTGCACCTTGTAATGGTTTGACAAGTCTTGTACAATAGTCTGGCAACGTCCTTATATAGCTAAATCCCATGACTAATTTTTAATTGCCCCAATAATCTTACAAGGATTTGATCCCCTTCGGAGTGAAAACTAACATACAACTTTGAAATGATGCTGAATATAAACTAATAAGGGGTCCAGTGGTCTGCAACTAACGTATCGGAGTTATGTAAATGAAACGCATAAAATAAGTGGGGATTAGATCAATTCTTTTTCATGCTCACGAATACGTTCTGACTAAGAAAATTGTTTATTTTACAATACTTTGCTGTCTCTTAAAATCCAGTCTGGAACATTTTGGTTTGGCGTAAACGGTATGTGTATGTTTAATTTATCTAATTTAACGAGTTAAAAAAAATAATAATAAAAATCGTTTTGTTTACTTGCGAAACATTGTATTTTTCTTTCTTTTTTTTTGAAAATATGTAGGCCTATCATCATTGTGTGTTGTACCACGAGTTGTAATCGCGTCAATAATTAATTAGAATATATTACAACTATAACGATTTATGTGAAAACATGGCGTTTCATTTAAATTACAATTTTGTTGGTATGTGAAATGTACAACACTATGACAAACACCTAGAAATACAAAATATTGCGGTGGTCTAGGCCTACTTCTGCTCTGATGAACCTGCAAAAGTATTTCAGCGATAACGTTCCATCCATTAACATAGCTGCTAAGCTACTTCACACAGCGTTTGACCTTAAGATGGAAAAACATACTGGTTTAAATAAACAAGAATATTTAGAACCGTGCCTGACAGACACATTTTTCCATTTTTCACAGCAAAACAGTTTGTGCACTTAATAGATCAGCTGTTACTCATAGCGTACAATATGTAATAGGGCTATATAGTAACACCATTTACTGGGCTGAAATGTTATTATAGTTAGGCCTACAGCTCAATATCACACTATTTTAAATATTTTAAAATCTCATATTTGTTGTTGTACACTATTATTATAAATAGCATAAATATAAGAGTTTAATTTGCAGAAAAGGCCTACACATCATTGACAATTAAAGCTCTAGCGTCTTTAAAACCTACATTCCTCAGCAAGACAAACCCATATTATTAACACCAGACGCAGACAATACGCGGGAAAACCAGTTTAAGGGTTAAAGAGGCAGTTTTCAATAACCTGCTAATTCTCATCATATGCCTATTTCATGCAAGACCCATCTGAGAGCAACTAAATACTATCCGGTCTTCTTTACTGCAAAATTCCTAGTCGATTAATAATATTTACTTATTAATTCAGTTTTAAGTTATTAATTGCAGTAGCATTCAGTCATTTATTTTGTTAAGGCAAATTGGTTATTTGGTCAAATCTGCTGTGAATAGTCGATTTTTATACACGGCCCTGCGGGACTTGTAGACTCCTTTGTGGTCTCCTGCATTCTGGGAGTCCGGCAGAAAGTCTTTAATTTCCAGGGTCCACATGGGGCGCTTTTGTAATGCTCCGGGCACAAATGTCTTTACATTTCCGCCCCATCTCTAGGGTAGATTAAACTGTTCACGCTGAAACTGTTATAAAAATGGTTGTTGAACTGTCCGTTTTGTCCACCGCTGAATGAGTTGTAATAGACGCCGCGGTTTAGGTGAAGACTTTCCGGCAGGTCGAGACCACCGCTGTCTTGAGACGAATTGGTATGGTAGGGGCTCAGACCTGTAATGTTCCTGCTGGAAAGCTCGTTCACCAGCCCCAGAGCTCCTTGTCTGCCGCTAGGGCCACTGCTCAGGGTGGACATACTGCTGAAGAAGTTATTAAAGCAGGTTGGAGACGGAAGACCTGTGGGAGACGCGCTTTTCTGACCGTCCATTGCGGTATCCATTCCCGGAGAAGAGGGATCCATGACAGCAGGGCTCTCTGAAGCCTTGGCACCCGGAATGGGCCGAACATCTTCCACTTTAGCATTACCGGTGATTCCACTGGTGGACTCCGACCTTCTTTTCCTCTTTCTACGGAAGTTTCCATTGTCAAACATCTTCTCACAGTTAGGATCTAAGGTCCAGTAATTCCCCTTTCCTGTAAATACATACAACGGGCAATTATATGATAATTGTTTATAATGATCGACTTTTAAACAAGGTTTCATGTTTATTATAGTGAACATGGAGCCCCAAATTGAGATTCGAACTTTTTGGAATAACATGATATTGAAACTCTAATATATCGTTTGATGTGAATAAATATTAACGCTGACAATATCAAGCGATAACTGTAAATAGGTAGTTTACATTAATAATATGGAAATCGCTTATAATACGCTTTAAATTTTTATTTATCGATTGAGCAAAGTTTAAACTGATGCTTACCTGGATCGTCCTCGTCTCTGGGAACCTTCTTGAAACAATCATTCAAAGATAGATTGTGTCGGATGGAGTTCTGCCAGCCAGCTTTGCTCTTCTTGTAAAAAGGAAAATTGTCCGCTACATACTGATAAATCTGACTAAGAGTCAGTTTCTTTTCAGGAGTATTCTGGATGGCCATAGCGATTAAGGCTGAGTAGGAATAAGGAGGACGTACTAATTTAAGCAGTTCCTCTTGGCTCGCTATGGACAACCAGCCAAGATCCGACCCGGTGAACCCTGAAGCACTGGGTAAGAACTGCCGCTGAGATCCGTAGGATGGAGGCATGAACGAGGCTGGATTGTTTCCGTGAAGGTAGGAGGCGGAGGAGTTCATACCCGGCCCGTTTAACCACAGGTAAGGACTGGAAGAGGGCGCGTAATCCCCCAGTCCGTAGCCGCTCGGCCTCTGCGTGCTGTGAATGCTCTGCTGGTGGTACATGCTGAAATTGTCACAGTACACGGTCATCTCCGAGGCTTCCTGTGCACTTTTTGGATGGGTTTGGAGCGGGCTGATTGTTGGAGACGTGTGGTGAGCTTGCAGATCAATTGAGTTCATAATCTCCACGTGCAACCCCGTTGTAACGCAACACAAGGGGGTTCGAAGCCGTAACTTCGGCAGCAGCAACAAGTGGCATAAATCTCAGGCTGAGACCCAACTTTATACGCCCACCTCTGCGTACGGCGGGGGCTACAGGGGAACGTGCAGCGCCCACCAATGGGAGGGCAGTGCGCACTGCAGGGGTGTGTTCGTGGTGGCAGTGCGATACGACGATAAAGCGCAGTTGATTCATATTTACACGCCAAGAGAAAGGTGAAGTATAGTCAAAAGTCAGTGTAGGTGTGTCACTCATAACGTAAGTTATGATAAAAGTAAAAATGCAATCAGACGAGGATTCATTACAGCCGAACAACCTGATAGTCAGAACTCTATAAATGCTAATATAACAAAGGCGATGTTCATCTCCAAAAACAAATAAATAAAATAACATAAAGGACGTTCAGCAACCTCAAAACACATACATAATGTAAAACAAAACAGTTTAATTAGTAAGTAAAATTAGCTGTTTTTGTTACATAGGCCTATTCCTGAAATTTGTTACATATACATGAAATTTCATATTGAAAGATGAAAAGACTATAAATAGAGTATGTCAGCATTATTCATGGGTAATGCTGTTCACCTTCATCCATGGGTGTAAATAATAAGGGGGGGGGTACTAATTACACCCAGCAAATATAACCCCCAGGACCCCCTTAAATGGGTGGGAACTTCAACCCCCCTATACTGAACCCAAAATTATACCACTATACCCCCGCCTTCAGCCTGAATTATGTTGGAAAGACATCATTTTAGCCAAGTGTTTTCATCTTAATATAAGTATTGGGACAAATACATTTAAAGCTTATACTTTAACTTATTCACAAAGTTTAAAAAAAGATTTTTAGTCTTTCCATGGCCTGTCCTTTTCAATCCTATTTTGGGTGGGTTTCATTCACATCATCTAAAAGAAGTCCAGTTTTTGTGGGATGAACTTTACTGATAAGTTTGAGGTTTGCATTTATGTATGTTAAAATGTGTTGTGTTTACCTAGTTGTAGGCTGTTAGGGAGAGATCAAGTCACCTTTTGTACAACCAATTATAAGCATGCAATTTATTATTCTTTGATTGTGTTCATTGGTTTAAGTTTTTTTTATGTGGTTTTAATTGTGTGTTTGATAAATGGTTGATCCATCATCATTTGCCCTTCTTATTTTACAATGTGTCATTGAGCTTGCATCCCTTCAGAAAAACCAGAGGGATTCACTCTCCACTCTTCATTGATGGAAACTGCCACCAAGATAGTCAGTAACTTCAGGTTTCTGGGCATTCAGATCACCAGCCCTCTTCCCTGGTCTCTAAACAAGAGCTGCATCCCCAAGAAGGCACAGCAGAAAATGTTGGTCATGAGGAGACTAAAGGGATTTGGGGTGGGAACAAAACCTATGTGAAGATCTAAGATTACAACATCCTGCTGTGGTTAGGGAACCTAACTCCTCAGGACCTCAGAGTGCTGTGAAGAAGTGTCAAGACAGATTTGAAGTTCATCAACACAGATCTTCCAACGTCAGGGCTGGATGCAGGCATAAGCAAATTGGGCAGCTGCCAAGGGCCCAATCGGCACAAGGGGGCCCGATCGGCAAAAGGGGACCCAGACAAAGTCGTGGAAATGAACACACAAACAAATAAACAAACAAATAAATAAATGAAATAAATAATTTTAAAAACACGAAAAAAATGTAAAATTAAAAAATATATATTAAAAAAACGTACATCAAATTAAAATGGTTTATATTCAGGCAGAAAAACGGAGTATGGATTCAAAAAATATTGTCCACCTAGTGTTCCGTAACATCCTAATTCGGTCCTGGCGGCTCCCCTCAGTCTCGCTCTCCCTCTGCCAGCTGACGGTTCACTTCACTCGCTATTCTCCAATTCCCAAATGTTTAACATACTACGTAACTTTCTCACCATTATACACGGTAGTGTTGTCATTTTGCACATCTCCATCCCGCACTACACTCGTACCTTTGAATAACATATTCCTACATTGATGCTTCTTATGTTTACTTATTCGTATATTATACTGTCTAGTTTTGTATTGCATGCTTATCCCACCCCTCCTTCATCCTGCAACTGTGCCATAATAATTTCATTCATTGGTGTCCCTGTAAAACCTGCTATAGTTATCAGAAATATTATTGTACTATTTGACTCCCTACTTAACTTTGATCGTCATATAAAATCCCTCTCCAAAACGGCATCGATTCCCCTTCATATCATCGCTTGTCTACGTCGATTTCTGTCCAGTACTGATGGCCAAACTCTGGTTCATGCTTTTATTACGTCCCGTATTGATTAGCCTACTACAGCTCCCTTTTCATTGGCCTCCCTGCAAAATCTATACAGAATCTTCACTTCACAACTAGACACGAAGGAAACAACTCAAGAACCGAATGAACTCTGTTCTGAATTAAACAACGGAGCGCTAACGCCGCGCATTCGATTTGCTCGCTACCGGGGTTCGTATCTCCACCTTGTGGTCACAAAGGGTACTACGTTCGTTTGAAAATGCCCCCAGTCCATTTATCCGAAGCTACTAGCGGGTGCAGCGCAGTGCCTGAACTCCTCTGCTGCTGTACGCGTAAGTCTGCAAGTTATGTGCTAGTTTATATATGGTTATCTGCATAGACGCCACACTGGAGCGGCCATTTCTCTTAGACTGACGACCGAAAAAACGTCTGCCCAGGGCAGACTGGTGTAATACTCTCAAATCCCTTGTCGGCGAGACGGGCTCCGGATCTCCGCCACATTGACGTGCATATGAGGATCTGCCGGAAAATGTCTTACTTATCATCGTTTAAAAGACACATTGCCGAGGACTGCACGCATTTGAGTTGAGGTACCTAAGGCTGACCTGCCAGCACACCTGTTCCAGCATTTATCCAGAGGAACCAGTGGGAAGTATCACAGCATCTAACAGGTATGGGTGTGGATGGTTCTCACGGAGATAATGCGAAAGGGTATTTAATAATGATCATAGATCAAGATTAGAGTTGAATGAGGGAAATTAACAATACATTTATTATATATTGTTTTACATGCATTGGTACAAAACGCGTCTCCGTTAAATCTCTAAACATAAACCGTGATTTTTGTGGGGTTCCCTATGAATGCGGATGTAACTTGGTCCAGCACAGGAAATGCTTTCGTTTTATGTATATTTCTTAATTCACGTAGCCTCTATTTGCGCGGATTTGGATGAATGAGGTCCGGTCCGGGTTCCCAGCGCAGAAACTGCGTGTCACTGTTAGTGAGTGATCTTCTCATTTTGTGTCTCCTTCTGCGTTTGTCATCCGTTTGGTGACAACACTTTGTGGTAAGGAAAAGGAACTATCAATGCGCGGTGTTTTACAGATTAAGGAAAATTTAAAAGATATGTTGCAAAGTACTCTCCTTACACATTTAATAAGCCAACCTTTTCTCGACCACGTAGTTTTCCAAGTCTTTGAAAAAAACCGAAAACATAACCAACATTTTCGCAGAAAAAAATGACAGTTGGCCTCATTGGAAATAAATGGTTTTATCAACTGTAACCAGGATTATTGCAGATTACAGTATCAATGAAGAGCATTGTGCATTACAATCTAATTACTATAGCTGACTATATAATCACTTGGGTTGGTTAAATTGGAGGTGAGGAGATTCATGATGATATACAGTGATAAACCGTCGTGTAACCGGAGTTGTGTCAATCAGACATTTGAGCTGACATGGTGTAGCTGTGTCTCTCAAACTTAACAAGTTCACATTGTCTGTCTGTATGACTTGGTCCAAAGTGAATCCTGTTTGACATCACAATCTGAGTTGGAGTCAGATTTAATATGGTTTTTAGTTCTAAATAACCTTTTCAGAATCTCACAAAGGTCCACAGGTATGCAGTGCCTTTGGCTGTTATTAGGCCAGTTGGTGGTTCCTTACAAGCCAAAGAACCGCCCCTCCCGTAGAATAGCTTTTCTTAGCATTTTTCTTTTTGTAACTCGATGACTTTCCTTTTCAAAGCACCTCTCCCTTCACCCTGGCCATTTCTCACTAGCCCACATCAGGTTCAGTCCATCTTGAGTTCACATATGTGGCGTGACCCTTCAACCAGCCACCCAGGTGTTCTGTTCAGCCTGGATGGTGGCCAGCATCAGCATCAATGCAGCCATTCAGCTCACATACACAGGTGTTCCTTTGCTGGACTTGAACCTGGGACCCTGAGGTTAGTCACCTGACTTCTTTACCCACTGTACTATGGTTCTGGCTTCAAAAGCAACTGAAAATTTTTGTCTAAGGAACATATGTATGCGTGTGTGTGTGTGTGTGGATTAGGTTTATATTACATCGTGGGGACCAAATGACCCCCACAACATGATAAAAAACCTTTTGAGATTGTGGGGACCATTTTCCAGGTCCTCACAAAGATCTGTGAATGAATTCAAAAAACTCATATTTAGTTTGGTTACTTATGGTTAAGGTTAGGGCTGGGTAGGGGTTAAGGCCGTCACGTTGGGATTAGTTTTCCCCATAGAAATGAATGGAGAGTCCCCACAAAGGTATAATTACAAACCTATGTGTGTGTGTTTGACTGCCTGTCTCTTCCTAAAAACCTAATAGCCAACCACAGCTGGATAGAAGAATAAAGTCATTTCCCCCCTAGTTGTTTAATGATGAACCAGATTACAACCTTCTGATTGGAGAACCGGCACCTTACTAAGCTCACCTGTCAGAGCATAGCCCAGGCTTGACAAGGTACCTAGGGTTAGGGACCTCATCAGTTTACTTGATAAGTTACATTCACTGCTGGAGTTAAACCTTAAGATTTCTGATTTACTTCTGACATGCTACCAACTATGCTACCATGCTAGAACACAACCTAGTCTTACAACCTTTCTCATATACATTTAGGGGTAAAGGACTCATAAGTCATCATTAGTATATAGTATTCGACAAATAGATTATGTATTTTCAAATCATGGCTTTTTCTGTGATCCCTGACATTTTCATATTCTGATCACATTTGAGGAAACAGGAGTCATAAATAGTGAAATAAAAAAACAAACTTTGAACTTTTTTTGTACCTGATGCCGAAAAAAGCAGGCCTAGAGATCCCACTGATTTTTTTAGCAAGAATTATGTTGCTGGTTATATTGTGGACATTTAAATAACGATGCAGTCATTTGTTACACTGATACGATGTTGACAATATTTTCCTATTAATCATGTGTGATCCTTTCCTCTATTTTTAAACTGCATTATGCTAGTTTACAATCATCAAACAGTTGGAAACCACTAGAGACACTATGTGCATTAAAAACTATAAGCTCCTATACTGACATCTGCTGGCCACAATTTTGAACTGTCACCAGATGTCAGTAATTGTTAAAAGGACCAAATTGTTCAACTTGGGAGCGGGAAAATAAAGCAGGAGAAAAATATTGAATCTTTTATTGGAAGAGGAAAATTGGCATTTATTGCATTTATGAGAAATTAAAAACTAATGAAGAATTAAAATTAAGATGATAGCATATAGTTCTCATGGAAAGAAAAACCAGCATTTAAAAATAACCACAAGCTTTGAATAAATAGTATCCAGTTATTTAAATATGGTTTTGTTTATACAGAGAGTAGTAATAAATTTACATGATACTTTGCATTGTGTTCATTATAAAAGCATTTTTTTTCCTGAAAGGTTTTTAATCAAAAATAAAAGTAGCATTCTTAGCAACATGAAGCCTGAGATTAAGCTAAAACTTGAAAGAGAATTGGCGTTGGTTACAGTCATTGAAACAAGACAGTCTGGAAATATCAATGAGGCCCAAACATGTCCTTTCTAGCCTTTTTACACATATCCAGATGCTCCTCTAATTCATAATATTTCCACTAATTTACATTCTCAGGATGCGGTTTGGCGATTGTGTTAAACCTGTATGATCATATTCTTCCATATGCAGATGAAGTAGCAGACAAGTGCATTATGGGTAACGACAGTCACATATGTAAGGACCTACAGTGAACGGGCTCAGGTTCCCTAGTTGACTGTAGTCCACAGGTTCTGGAAGCATACATGCCAACACCCCCAGGCTGGGGTCCCTCTTCCTAGTGGAGCTCAGACACATATCTTACAGCCGCCTACCAGTCCAATGTGTCGTCAGTCTCAGCATGTTTGTGCCAGCATGAAATCCAACATGGAAGACTGTATGAGGCCTGTGACCAGCATTAAAGGCAAGTAATATTCCAGGCAAGCAGAGGAGAAGTCAGCCGTGTTCATCCAACTCTCCCAGTAACCCCAATCCCAGGGACTGGGCCAGGACCCAACAGCAAAGGTTGTGCAGGACCAAGGAAGCCCTTTGGGGTTGGGGGCTGGGAAGCAACATCTGCAGTGGGTTTTTTTTTTTGGGGGGGGGGGGGTTTCTGAGGCCCTGTTGAATTCACAGGTAACAGGTTCACCTGAGAGAGGCAGCACGCCTCCGGACTGAGGTATGACATTGTCTCGCTTGTGCTTTTATATTATTGAAGTTGATATGATGATCAGTGGCCAAAACTGTATGTTTCCTGTGCAGGGGATCTGATAACATAACGAAATCATTTGCCAGGCCTGATTTCACTCATTACAATGAAGGTACACGCAGTTCTATTACCAGTACATGTTAACACTCTGTGCTAGCAGAGAGCACAGAAAAAGGTGTTAAACAATAAATAAAAATAAAATGCAAAAAGTCATGGACTTCCTAGGGCCAGGAGGGAAGTTCTGAGTGACATTCCAACCCTGACCACTGCCAAAAGTGTCACCCAACATCAAGACTGACACCAAACTAGACAGAACAGAATGGTCACATCCCACAAGAAGGAATCTGTACTCAGCTTCTCCTGGACACGTTTGAACCATTTCTTCCATCTAACTGAGCATGCTGATTACTACTTAAAGCTGGCTTGCCGTCCAGCTACTGAACAGCCTGTGCTGGAGTCCACGGGGCACGCGCTAGGTGAGCATGTTCCTTTAAAACAACAAACACCCACATCCTCATCCACATCCACGGTCCTCCAAACACGGGGAGATTCTCGGTACTGGTAAGGCGTGTCTCCCAGTGGTGTCCACCCTACATAAGCCTTACACTAAGACCATAAGATCAGCGTGTTTTCTGGCACAGTTACTCCAGCTGAGACTCACCATGTCAACCACCCCCACCCCCCAGCCTCAGCCCCAGCACTGCTTAGTCTTGTAAGCAACTTACAAGCATATGATAGTGACCATTATTACTCCAACAAGAGTTAAGGGATTGTTTTGGGGGGGGTCAGCAGAATTAGTCAAATTTCAGCCCAGACTAAATGTGGTTTGTACAGCCATCTACAGCCCTCAGAGTAGGAGGCCTTCTGAGTAAACAGCTGTCAAAGTTCCTAAACAAGCACAGTGAAGCACATTTCGGCAAATGAAGCAGGAGTAGCTCACAGGCAGTGTGCTTCAAGGGGTCAGCAGGCCATTTCTGGGGCTGGGGCCGGTCCACAGGCTGCGGCCATGCCCAATCAGCAATGCTCACCACAGATCACTCACTCACTGCTCGACAAGTACAGATCCACTGCAAAAATTCTCAGTGTTAACATTCAGACGATACGTGTTGTTAGAGGCTGATATTGGCCATGAGGAAGTCCCCAATCTGTAACTGTAGCAGTGACAGAAATGTCTGTCGGTGTTTAAATCAACGCATACAGACAAAAATCTGTAAGAGAATTCCGCACTTTAAAATGTGAATGGGAACAGACTTTGTGGGTAGGGCTGCGGGCCTGATGTGCCTTAGTTTTCATCCAGAACACGTTCTCCTTTCACTTCCGATTATTCTTTTCGCTCCCAGGAAGTGCGCACTGGATGCTGTGGTCTCCCAGAGGGCTGCCGTCCGACCTTAGCAGTCAGACGCCTGTCCTGTCGCTGTAGAAAGGTGTGACGTGGAACATGTAGCAGTGCGTGCAGACGCGTACCGGCTTCATCTGACCGTACCGAGGGAGGGGGGCCGAGTGGGAGGAGCAGCGGGAGCAGAAGATCTGAAATCATGGAGGGAGGGGGGTGAGGTAGGGAGAGAGAAGCAGAGAAGAGCAGAAAGGAAGGGAGGAAGAGAATAAATGAGAGGAGCCAAATGAAAATGTTATGAGATTCTGCATTGCTGAGAAAAAAATGCAACCATGCAGTTTTGCTATGTGTGTGACCGTATGCGTTTGTTACTTTTCTGCAGCTCCTGGTGTGGGGTGTGTGTGTCTGTGTTTGTGTGTGATGCATATACAGTAAAATCCCGTTACAGTGGACTCGCTTATAACGGAATCTCGTCTATAACGGACGAGGTCCGTTGGTCCCGGCCGTGCGCCTTTAAGAACATGCAGAAAAAGCATCGGATATAGCGGACTCGCATATAACTGAATTTCGCTTATAACGGACAAACAATTTGGTCCCCAGGGCCGCTTTTAGCTGTAATTCTGTTCGGCTATAACGGACATTCAGGCTCCGCCTACAAGGCACGTGGCGTGCCGATGAAATCCAAGCGCAGATACGGAGTCGGGATTATTAATAGTCACGCATCTAGTCAGGTAAAATTGGATTACTACATGTACAATATAATAATCTATACCACAAGTGTGTCTGCTGGGGTGTGGCATGAGTAAATGATGTCCTGTAGTTGTGTTCTGGGCATATAGCAACTCTGGATATAACAGACTTTGGATATAACAAACTGTTTTGCCAGGTCCCTTGAAGTCCGTTATAACTGGATTTTACTGTATTACATTGTGGAGAACAAATATATTTCATTATGGGGGCCATTTTTTCGGTACTCACTAGAAGAAACAGAAGAAAGTTTATAAAAATCTGTGACTGCAAGCAAAGAACTTACGGTTATGGTTAGGGCTGGGTAGGGGTTAAACTTCCCATAGAAAGGAATAGACAGTCACCACAAAGATATGAATGCAAATGTGTGTGTGTGTTAACTTTTCGTTGGCTCATGCAGTGGTGTGTGTGCATACGAGTCTGTGTGTGTG